GGCACCTGATTGCAATCTGAACTGAGGTCTTGCTGGGGACTCACACGCGGCACCTGATTGCAACCTGAACTGAGCTCTTGCTGGGGACTCACACGCGGCACCTGATTGCAATCTGAACTGAGCTCTTGCTGGGGACTCACACGCGGCACCTGATTCCAACCTGAATTGAAGACACACATTTTCAAGAACTCCGGTTCAGCACTTAACCTGCAGAGGTCTCCGCCAGTCTCGCCTTGAGAGCATCCTGAGGTGGAGACAGATTTTAAGCTCCCAGACTGCGTAGAAACCCCCCCCCCGCTTGTAGACACACAATCGGGCCAACGGAGCTTAAACGAGGAAGACCCCGTCCACGCCTGAGAAGCCGCCCTACCCCTGCCCTGGCGCCATGTATGGGTAGTACGAACGGGCTCCCCCGTTTTAAAGTGCTGAACACAGTACCGAACCTCCCCAAACTTGTTCCGTTCAACCGGCAACCACTCCTTGTCCGATGGAACAAACATATGCTTACGGGGAACGGGATGATACCGAGTCAAAACCTGCTCTGCATGACTATAACCCCAAAACTCCTCCTTACTGGCTGGCAACAGGGTGAAGCCAGTCTGCCAAAGCACATCACGGTCTGAGCACGACAGCTTGTGCAAGCTACGAGGAGTGTAACCAACTAAGAGTAGCTGTTGTCCACGGGCACTCACCGATTCGTGCCACAAGCTTGGATTAAACTGAATGGCCTTATGCGAGCGATACTCGTGAACTCTACCGGTCACCTGCCGTGTATTCGGGAGAACCTTGGTGCTCTCAGGACCCATCACACTCCTTGTCCGCTCAGAGCTCTCCGAGTCTTGAATCCACAGGCCTCCCCCGGAAGTAACCACCGGCAACACAACATTTGGAACCCCCTTCTGATTATGTACATCTCTATGCAGGGTATGGTCAACATTGAGAATCAGCCCCACACCCGCAAACAAACCGCTGGCATACCTGCTCATATAGGTCGTGAGGTATCTCGTAACCCAAGGATGATCCCTGGTATTACTACGAAGGCCCGTCATCCCTCCATAGGAAAATGCACCTGTGAGAAAGTTGCAAGTGCGAAACGGTTCATCTCGGCTTGTCTCAGAAGTTCTCACCATGCGACTGCTATCTTGTGCCAGCTGCGAAACTTGCACTGCCAAGGCTGCCAGATCTCTGGGCCGGAACAGCTTGTCCTCATATAACTTCTTCGCCAACTTGTCAACACCATGCACCGGCTCTCCTAAAATCGGAGTTTGCAGCTGTCTCACCGTCTTCTTTCCTGCAACTCTGTAATCAGGAGCATCCAAATCCACTGCAGGGCCAGTACTACTAAAGGACACTTTTCCCTGGTCCACTGATGGGAACAGCTTTCCCGTCGTCAGCAGCTTGCCGTCGTCTGTTGCAACAACCCATCCTCGAGACATGTCAGCGGATGGACATTTCACCAGAGCAGTTGTGGTGCGAGACTCCCAAGTCTCCCGCTTCCAGCTACGACTAATGACCTGCACCTTGGTGTTGAACGGCAGCGACTGTTGAATCTCAATCTTCAGCCGCTTCCTTGCAACGTTCTTCAACTCATGTGCCGCCAATTTAGCCGCCAATGGCCAATCCGTCTTTTCAGACCCAGACTCTTCGAGAATGACTCTGGCTTTGCTTTTTACACGCATGATTGCCCCTTCAGCTCTGCCGTTGCCCTGATGTTCTTCAGCTACAGCAAGCGTCCTATGCACAGCATGCCTAGCACACCAGTTTCGGAGAGGCTTGTTGTTATATTCGCGGCCACGGTCCGAGTGCAACCGTCTCACATCAAAGCCTTCCGCTTTGGCCCTAGCATGCATGCGACCAATTGCCGTCAAGACCTCTCCATGCGTCTTCCTCTCAATAGCCTCCACATAGACAAAATCTACAATCTCCACCTTGGGAAGCTTCTGAGAGTTGGCTTCACGAATCCAGTCTTCCCGACTCGACTTGACCAGACGGTCCCACTCATTCCAAGCAGCTCTAGCTTCAGCAGCATCTCGCGCCGAAAACTCCTCTTCAGCACCTGCTTCCACCACACCACCATCAGCGAACCATTCAGCATCTTCAATTGCCCCTCCTGCTTCTACAGAGACTGGTTCCGGATCGGCATCATTCGGAACATCCACCTCCTTTCCATCCATAGCCAGGATAGGAACTGACAAAACACCAACAACCAGATATCTTGCCTTAGAGGTATGCTCGTCCCGTCCTCTTGCAAAAGGCCCCGCGGTATCTACAGAGAGACACCACGACTGAGGTGTGAGCACACGACGATGCTGCTTCCTACGAGCTGAACCCTTTAAGCACGTCACACAATCATTCCTGTATGGAGTGTGGTTCTGCTGCAAATGATGGAGAAAACCAGGGTCAACCTTCTGAAGCATTGGTCCCGCTGTCCCCGAACTCTTCATTTGAGCAAACGCCCGATGCAGCATGCTGCCAAGTGCCAGCACCAAACCTGGAGCCCACTCGCTCCAAAGCTTAGTAGTAACCCCATAGTCCCTTTTGGGAACATAGTCAAGCATCTCAGGTGTAACACTGCAGTGTATCAAAACAGGATCTGGCTCGAGATTCGTCCCCAGGCACGTGGGCTTACGCTTCTGATGACCTATCGGGCCCTGAAAGAACCTGAACTGGCGCAATCCAAACTTATCCTCCAACGTCTTCCATTCTGGAGTTGTCCAAAGGGATACCGACACAGGTCCATCCCTCAAGTTGTTACCAAGTGGCTGCAGGTCTTCCTCAGGACAAGGATGCTCCACCACGCATGCTGGGTCCGACAACCCTTGAATCCTATTGGAATCAACAGCAAAGGCGATCAACAGGAGAAACCTCAGGAGTAGCACATCATCCACATTCCGCTGTGCCTTCTCCTGACATGACAGATCTTGCACTCCGTAGGCCCCAATACTTTCCCCTGGAACCCTAATAGGTCGTGGCCCCTGGCCTGTAGCTGCTGCCAGACACCGTGCAGCAGAGAAAGTGCGATCTGACGGTCCTCCTACTACACCCCGAATCTTGCCCTCTCGAGCCTGCTGAAGAAGGAACCGAAACGTGTTATCATTCAAGAGATCCTCAGAGGCATCTACCCCTAGGTGAGTAAGATCCCACAAGTGAGACACCGACTCAAACGCCTTCCTGGCACTTCCACAAAACACATGTACCACCACCCCCTGGGACCTAAGGCATCTGCGTCTGATCCGCCTATTCCAGGTGGGAGTTTCTTCAGCCGAATCCTGAAGAGAAACAATACACTGCTCCAATGTCCCCTTGGACACCTCAGGGAACAGGCGCTCCACATACACCCTGAAAGCAGCGTCGCCATGGGCACCTCCTGATCGAATCACCTGGAGTAGGTCTTGACCACCAGTATCCCTCAGATCTTCCATAATGCAACGCAACCTGGCCCCAATTGTGTCCTGACGACCCACATAGAGCTCATACTGATCGATTAACTCCAAGGCAACTCCCTCGTCCACCTCTGGACAACCAGTGCTGGTGTCAACATTGAGTTCGCCAAACTTAGGGTGATAGATCCTGCATCTGGAAGCATTCCAATCAATGCGGTAACCGAGTCGCAGCAACGCCTTGACAGAAATGATCGGCGAGACCGGCACACCACTGAGTAGCGTCCCGTACTGGTTTATATGCAAGTCGCAGCTCCCATACGCCAACTTGACAGGGATCGTTGGTAACGACCAGACACGCCGTCGCGCCCCCGTCTAT